TTTGCTGCACCTCACTCATTTTCATTCTTGTTGTCGTATTTTATTTAAAGCCAAGGATGTTATGTAAGAGCCTCGTTTAGTGCATCACAGTGCAGAGTGAATGTGCAGTTGGTAGGGATACGAATCTAAATTCTCTATAAGAACCAGTCCCAGTTATAGTTAGCCTGCCTGCCTATCAGCCCTGCTTATCCTCTTGCATTTGCACTACAGTCAGCCGATTTCAGCTCATGCGCCGATCAGGTGTTACAGTTATTTTCATTGCACAAAACCGTGAGAGTCCAGTGGAAGGGAAAGTGTGTCCAGAAACAGCTGTTAATGATGTCGCTAACACAACATCAGCTCTTTGGAGGCACAGACAGCGCGGCGTGCTAACGCTAAGCTAGCCAAGAACCCGGAGTTAAATTAAAGCATCGTGAATCTGACGCCAGCGCAGCGGTCAGAGCCTGAACATCGAAGCCAGCGATGAAGCCTTCATCTCTACCTGTTCATGTTTCTAACGTAGAGGCACCGTGGCGATCGCTTAAAGTCTCTGTGCTGGTTTTCATCGTTGCTTCGTGTTCATACCTAAATACTAAGACAAGGATCACATGTGTCCTCGTCAGGACAGGGATGTGTGTTGGTGTGTGCTAGCATCAGGTTTATGTTATTAAAGGCTTATAAGCTGATACGTTTCAGTCACAAAGACTTCCTCCTGGGAACAATAAACTAAAGCACGTCTTTGCTTTTAACAACAGTGTTCTGACTGATATGTTTGAGTAATGACCCCAGCACTGGTCGCACAGCATGCAGTTACTCTGAACGGATATAATGTTGTTGATGTGCTGCTTAGTGAAGGTGATGACTCTAAAAGTGGAGCCAGTGAAAATCAATAGGTGATATTGATCTTATCAGTTCCCATTCTTAGCATTCGTACAGTCAGTATTCATTAGCGTTTGTGTGAACTGTTGCTTGCTGAATATCACAACAATATCAACCTTCCAGAATAAACCTTGTTTATCGTGGCTTCTGTGCCTCATACTTCATTAGAAGTTGGATCTCATTCTAACTAAATCAGCAGCTTTCTTCCCCCTATGCCTCCAGTGCACACGCTCCATAAAGGATGGTTGATGGGGTTGGTGGG